GTTGCATTGCCCGGGACTGTTTAAGTTTTGACTAGCGTTGCCAGCTCAAAAAAATTAAATTCACCAGATCCGAGCTAAAAAAGTTTCTGGATTTTCAACCAGATTACATCTGCTCAAAAACGAGCTTAAACACTCGACAAAGGCAAAAATAACTTGATTGTGATTTTTTGTCTTGTTGCGAAATATTTACGTTGTTACCTGAAAAACATGTTTAAACACTTCAAAGAGGCAAAAATGTTYACTTGATTTGTTCTAGCAAAATTTTGCAAAAAACGAGCTAAATTTAAATTAATTTTGTAATTTCTAGACATGTTTTGACTAAATTTTACAAAATAAATGAATCTCTGATTTAAAAAAAAACTAAATCGATGAAAAAAAGCTAAAATGATGTCAATTTCAACCCAGTTTGGTAAATTTTCAGTTATCGCAACTTCAAACAAAATAATTAAATTTTCAAATCAAAACAGTTAAATAAGACAAATCTTTTTGTTAAGAATAAAACGAAGTAAAAATAGCAATTAATTTTTCATATAAAAAACACAAATCAAACAACGGATTTAGAGGATTCATGAGAGTCCAAAATTTAAAAAGTAATTGTTGCATTGCCCGGGACTGTTTAAGTTTTGACTAGCGTTCCAGCTCAAAAAAATTAAGTTCACCAGATTCGAGCTAAAAAAGTTTCTGGATTTTCAACCAGATTTAAATTTTTCTAATGTCGAAGGTTTATATCTGCTCAAAAACGAGCTTAAACACTCTACAAAGGCAAAAATAACTTTATTTTGTAATTTTTTGTGTTGTTTTTGCGAAATATTTAAGTTCTTACCTGAAAAACATGTTTAAATACTTCAAAGAAGCAAAAATGTTGACTTGATTTGTTCTAGCAAAATTTTGCAAAAAACTAGATCATATTTAAAAACCTGCTTAACGACTTGAGAAATGTGAGGTTTTAACTAAATTTTGTGTTTTTGACTTATTTTTAACAAAATTTTATTAAAAAAACGAGCTAAATTTAAATTCATTTTGTAATTTCCAGACATGTTTTGACAAAATTTTGCAAAATAAATGAGTGATTCAAAAATAAACTAAATCGATCAAAAAAAGCTAAAATGATATCAATTTCAACCAAATTTGGTAAATTTTTAGTCATCGCCACTTCAAACAATAATTAAATTTTCAAATCAAAACAAATAAGTCAAATCTTTTTGTTAAGAATAAAACGAAGTAAAAATAGCAATTAATTTTTCGTATAAAAAACAAAATTAAACAACAGATTTAGAGGATTCATGAGACTGTTTAAGTTTTGACTAGCGTTGCCAGCTCGAAAAAATTAAATTCACCAGATTCGAGCTAAAAGAGATTCTGAATTTTCAACCAGATTTAAATTTCTCTAATAATGTTGAAGGTTTACATCTGCTCAAAAACGAGCTTAAACACTCTACAAAGGCAAAAATAACTTTATTTTGTAATGTTTTGTCTTGTTTTTACGTTGTTACCTGAAAAACATGTTTAAACACAAAAATGCAAAAGTTTTGACTTGATTTGTTCTAGCAAAATTTTGCAAAAAACGAGATCATAGTTCAAAAACCTGTTGACGACTTGAGAAATGTGAGGTTTTAACTAAATTTTGTGTTTTTGACTTAATTTTTTGACAAAATTTTATTCAAAACCGAACTAAATTTAAATTTATTTTGTAATTTTTAGACATGTTTTGACAAAATCTTGCAAAATAAATGAGTCTCTGATTCAAACACAACCTAAATCGATCAAAAAAAAGCTAAAATTATATCAATTTCAACCCAATTTGGTAAATTTTTAGTTAGTTTTAACATTTTTGTTAAAACTTTGTATTTATTTCAAAAAAGTTAAAAATTCAAAAACAACGCCAATTTTGGCCTAATAATTTTGTAAATTTTTGGTTTATTTTTAACGAAGTTTTTCAAAATAATTTTGTTTTCGCCAAGATAATGTACTTTTGAACCCAATTTAGCGATTTTGTTGAGTGAAATCTCAAAAAAATTTAACTAATTTAGTAGTTTTTCGACTTATTTTTGAGAAAATGTGGCAAAATAATTG